CAGCCAAGGCTCTTCCAGAAATCTTTCACATTTCTTTGTAATTCTTGTGACTGTGGAATGCCCTGTCTATGACAGTTTGCCAAGTCTCACACTCATCATGTCCCTTTTATAAACTTGCCTCTACTGCAAGGTCTACAAGAACCTTATAATTAAAAGGGGAAAAAACAACCAACCAACTCTTGCTCACCTATTGATACCCCAGTACATCCCATTTTCTGTGCATCTATCTTTTAGTGGCCAAAAATATCTGTAACCCACAAGCCTGGGTGTGGTGCTCTGTCCCATCTAGTGGCACCGAGACCACTTAGAGATTAATGAGTCTGCTCTACAGCCCTAGCTAAGGTCCATATGGCTTTTAGCTCATACAGTAGAGGCTCATGCATTTAGCTCCAGAGGTCCCAGGTTCGACTCCACACACCAATGACGGGGTCTGTCGGTGTTACACATCTTTCGTTCTAATTTATTGTATTGATCACATTGCTTTAAACTATTACTAGCCGTGATAATACTAATATTGACAATACTAGTAATAGGCCAACACTAGTTAGAGATCTTATGAAAAGAAGGAACGATTCAATTTGCAGAGCACTTTTTAAGAGTTTCAGTGGGCAACACATGTTGATTGGCACTGGAAGGGAAAGTTGATGGCAGAACAACACAAGGCAGAAAACGATCTTGGATGGACAATGTGGTATCCTGGATGGATCAAAAGGACTATTCATCCACAAAAGAGTAACAGAGGATCATACAGAACAGGCTACCACGGTTGCAAACCTCCAGTAATAGAGATGCCACATAAGGAGAACAACAGATACTTGATGCTGGTGAGTGGTGCAACAAGTTTTCCTTTTAGAGAAGTGATATATGTTGATTAAATGTTTTTAAATATTTGCAACTTTTTATATTGGTGACAGGGATGGAAGGATACAAGATAAGGATTGTCATGCACTGTAGCGCTCACCCCTTTTACCAAAGTATACCATTCATCCAGATTTCATCCAGGACTGCTGATACACCACTGGTGGAGGAGGAGATGGCTCAGGGTGGACACTGGCAGCTCCTTGATTCTCGCCGCAGGCAGTGTTCCACCCTTCCCCAAACCACTCCGGCCGTGCTCATACATAA